CATCGCCTGCCCGAAAAGGCAAGTGGCCAGGGCGCAGGCCATCTCCGGCGGTGGCCGATTGGCTCCCCCCGCTTCGCCCCCGGCCCTGCTCGTCGCCGCCCGGAGTGCAAGGCCGGGATTGCCGCATCGGGCACAAGCAACCTGTCCGATCGGGCACCCCTTGACTGCGGCAAGCGCATCCAGGCCCACGCGCTCGAGAACTGGCTTTCTGATTCTACAATTGAGGCTCCGTAATAACTCCCACCTCTCGACAATTCGCTCCAGCCGTTGCCATGCCCATGCCCACGTATTCACCTGAGAAGGCCCCTACCGTGCCTGGCAGCTAACATCCCCTGTCTCATGAGGGTTATACAACACTGTGCGACATACCGGTGCATTTCGTGGCTGTCCTACCGCGACGGTGAGTTCCACCTCCCCTTTGTTGCAGTACAATACTGTCGGAGCGCCGTGCACGGCGAGAATGATGGTCTGCAACAGAACCTCCGAGTACCGTATCCGAATGCTAGTGTAATAGCGCTAGTGGCACATGGGACCACGACAATCACCGTGCACGGAGGCCGCACTTCCTCTTCAATGGTGACGGCCAGCAAGTGTTACAGCGGTCGTTCCTTGACATGGACTCCTGCGGCCGCAACTCCTTCCTGTATCCATCACTGCAATCACCGTCCAAGCCCCATTTCTTCTGCTACCGTGCTCCGACTGCGCGGGATCTCGAGGATACAAGCGGCCGGAGAGTTCAGCGCGGGTCCTTCCTGCACGCTTCCCCGCCACGAGGGCGTCCTTCCCCTGTGCACTCGCGGTGGCGCGTGGCACCGAGGATGCGTCCTACGGCAAGCGATCCACAACGCTCCCAGCGCCGCCCAGATTGGGTCCGCTGCAATCAATCTCCCAGCATGTGCACGGCGGGCAACGCACCACGCGCGAGCTATAGCGATAGGGAAGCTGCCAGCCCGCGGGGCTATCGGCACTGCAGTCAACGTCCGCGCACGGCGCGGGTCAGCTGGCGATGCGTTCATGCACGGGGCGAGAAGAGAGAAGCTTTCCAGCTCGCCGCGAGCCCAGAGAAGTTGGAACAGAGGACAAGCTAGCGTCCATATCGAGCCGCACAGGTGGTTTGGGCCGCGCGGAAATGGCGGCCCATTAAGAAGCAGAAGCGGCCCACTCGCAGGTGCGCGCGGGCTCGCTGGGACACGTACGTACGTGCTTACGACCGCGACGGGCACCTGGAGGGCTTCGCGCAGATTTCAGCTGCACGGGGTGTCCAGTGCAGCGCTGGAGATGGATGGCGACACTACCTTGTGTGATCTGGCCAGGACGGGTGCGGTCGCTGCCAATCTCCGCGAAGCCAGGGGAACGTGCACCCCGGCAGCTCGCTAGATTCCGCGGCAGAGCAGGTAGGGTTTCGACACAGGAAGCAGACGCAGAGTGGAAGGAAGGGACGGTCAGAAAGGCGAAGCGAAGTTGGCGAAGGAGAGAAGATATCTGGCAGAACTGTGGTAAGATTTGGGGAAATCTGTCAATGTTGTGTCGCGGGTCATGATAGACGCGTCTGTGTGGGAGCCCCGAAGTCGAACGCTCCTTGGCCGGAAACTTTAGAGTGCGACTCGAAAGGCAAAGTGCGTCTTCTGACTGCGTCATCTGGTCCAACGCTAAGGATCGCTGCTAGTGCTCGAGAACACCATGCGCCCGAGGAAGGCATGGAAATGGCGGTAAGACGGGGAATCACCCGAGGCTCATCGTACTAGATGCATCGCTAACGAAAGGCGGGTATAGGCGCACAAGCGCCACAACGGATACAGTGCCTGAGCGCCATGTGCAGTATTCTGGCGGGGAGACGACAGCATCGTATAGCACATCGGACCTAAGGGATATGTTCGTTGGAGACGAATACTTCAGTGACTGTACCACCACCCCAATTGCAACGTGCGATCTACCTCGCAGTCCGCCGACTTTGCGCAGATGCTGGACAACAGAAGGTCGTTATCGAACTTGTTACGTCTCGCCGTCACATTAACTCCCGACTTAGCACAACCGGAACCGGGAGAGTATACGGTCCGGTTGCAGATTTCTGTTCGCGGGATGGCGTAAGGACAACAGACCCACGCTACGTATGCGCGACGTGTAGGTTGTAGACTTGCAGTGGAGTCCCCGACTGTGAGCGTAAGTAAGTCAGAATGACGAGCACGTCCCGACATCGTTGCCTTCATCGGAACATCAGTTGATTATTATAAAGTTGCGGCATATGTCCTTCACATAAGCGGATGATCTCCATTCAGAGAATTCGTCAACAGTGGGTATGGGTGTTGTAGACGACGGTCTTCATTCAATTACCTGGCCCTGCAACAGTCACAAATTACCTGTACATCTCTCGCCCCCTCAGCGTCGTACCGATCGGAGTACAGCAGGTGCATCGTGGCTTATCATGGTGGCATGCTGTAATCCATACATTTTGCGGGGTGTGTGAGCGTGGGCGAAACCGAAATATGACATAGCAGTAAGATGTGAGACCGATCCGCAAGCACCGCTTAGCGGCCGCCCTTGCCACCCTTCATCTGCTGCTTCGATACACGGGGCGCGCTCGACACTGGTGCACGGCCGGCGGGCTGTCCCCGATCGTCAGTCCCATCGCACTGTGTGATCGGGTAGGCAACGAGACGCACCTTCTTCTCCTTCTTGTTCTCCTTGTCCTTCTTCTCCGCCTTCGCCTTCTGGATGGCGGCTGACCGCTGTGCCAGGCGCACCTGGGTGGTCTGGTTCCTCCGTGCAGCGATGGCAGCGAGGTCGGCGCCGACGATACCACGCTGGTGCTTCACGGTGCGGCGGGAGCGCTTCTTCGCGACCTCCTCGGTGATACCCTTCTTGTGCATCCGGCGGTACACCTGTGTCCAGGCGATCTTGCGGGGGTTCTTGCGCTGCAGGAAGAGCGACTCATTCTTGCCGCTGGCGAAGCGGAATATCTGGAGACGCGTGAAATGGTGGAGGAGGGGGGGGGGGCTGAGTAGAGTGCGTACCTTGTTGTCACCACGGACGAAGAGCTTGCCCTTCGAAGGGTAGATACGGTAGCCGGAAAATGTGTCGATCTCGACCTTCTGCACTCCGGAGATGCAAGGTCAGTGGTATATCGCTTTGAGAAAAAAAGGCCAACGCACCATCTGTCATGGAACATTGCGCACGAAGCAAGGCTCGTCAGTAAGTCCGTCTCTTTGAAGGCCAAGACTGCACCGCCAGCGTCATCAGCCACCTCCACTCGCAATCCATCCACTTCCGACGACCTTCTCCGGACATATGGTACGTCGTTCAAAAGCTCTCATCCTCCCCATCTTGCCAGACGCTGTACGGCCAGAGTTTCAGCAGGGATTGGTGCTCACCTTGAGGATTTGCCGGGGGTGCTGTTGACGGCGCCCTGACAGCGCTTGCCAGCGTCCACCTTCGGAGCAAATATTTGGTTTCGGTGGCGCGCACTTCGGTCCGGCGCTTCTCTACGCAGACCCCTTGCGCGCCGAGACTTGAGTGCCACCCAAGAACACCCTCAGCACCCAGCTAGCTGTATGCCAAAGAAAAAAGGGCGTGTCGTTTCTAGAAAACAATGCTGGGGCCCAAACGAGCTTAAATCCGAGAATGAATAGTCCTTCCTAACAAACCAGCGCATGGTTTCTTCCGTCGATTCACCCGCACGTACCGTCTATTCTGCAGATGTCATTCAGATGTTTCGCGAGCACTTTTTGTGCACAGAGGTCGCACTGCTGAGCGTCATATCGTGTGTCAAAACTCCTCGTAGAGTGCTGTCAAGCCACAGGCGGCATTGTTGGAGGCCTCCCTAGCCCCCCGGTGATCCCGTGGCCGCACGATGCACACAGAACCCCACTGGTAGTTACTGGTGCCTTGCCCAACACCCGGGGGATTGGAATCGTTGCTGTGCACCCGTATCTAAACTTTCGTGTTATTTATTCCTGGCATACCTGATCTCATCACCACGACCAGCAAACGTCAACGTCGTACAGTCAATTTCAACACAAGGTGACGCGAAGCGGTGAAATCTCGCTTATGGGCTATCCAACGCTCCTTGTATCTACCGTGAATATAAATCTGGCTGACAGCGTGGCATGTCATGGAGACCCAGGCGATGACACTGGACGCGGCTGACAGGGTATGCCCACTTTTTTCCAAGGACGGACACCTCTTGCATTTGATCTCCGCCAACTTCAACGCGCTCGCCGCAATAATGTCGAACCCCAAGGTCGTCACTGTCTTGATCTTCAATCCCCTTGGGCTTCAACAGAGCCCTGCCGCAGAGATATCAGATCTGCGGAATGCGATTCGCCAGACATACCGCGAGTATCTGCTGCACTTCGAGAAGAACAAGGGTGAGTGAAATCTGCACTACGCCCTGTCACTGGAAATTAAATTTCGTGCGCAGACATCGAGGAGGACATTGCGCACATGGAAAAGCACGTCAGGTTTTTGTTGAACAAGAAAGCCAGTATGTGTAGTGTTCGTAGGTGAAGGATTACTGACGTATGTCTTGTCCAGGGCTGCTTGCTCGCGCGGCATCTCAGACTTGCTATGATTGTACAACCCATTGTGTCTCATCTCAACAGTTATGACGTGGGTCGTTGAGCAAGACCGACATTACTATCAATCATGGTGACAGAGTTCAAGCAGGTCTTAATCCGGTGCATGAGTATGCCTACAGATCGCGAGGGGACACAGCTACACTCGCCGTACTTCAATATGTGCACGCGACATACTATGGTCTGGCGGAGAACGAGCTCGCTCTAGAATGGACTGACTGTGTTTCGGTCGCTCTGTGGCCACGACCCTCTTCTCGAGCGCTGCGATTATGCATTGCTAGTCTGTTGGTGGTACATCTGAGGGCGAAGCACGGACGACGCACATTGAGGAACGTTGCTCTGTTTGTACCACGTATCAGCCAATTGTTTTGGTCAGAGGCGACGCAGGTCGACAGGCAAAACATGAAAGCACTGTCCAGCAAAAGAATATCCCTCGAGCCGGGATCGAACCAGCGACCTTGAGATGTTTGCTTACGTAACCATTACAGTCTCACGCTCTTCCAACTGAGCTATCGAGGGGGACGGAAGGGTACTCATGCATGTAGTCATGGCCAGTCGATTACCCTCAAAAGAGATGGAGGTTGAGTCTGAGCAAGCGCCGAGACAGAGCACTAAGAGGAGAGTCACATGGAATCCTCACCACGATGGAAAAACATCCGGACATTATTTGCAAGGGAAAATGAGTTGCGGAAGGCTCAATCGAGAAACTCGCAAAATATGTTGACTGGTTTCAAGGACAGGGAGATTCAAAAGTCGGACGCGAACGAAGACCAGGCGTCAAAATTAGCTGCGATAAGATGTGATTCCAATTCGCGTGTCATGACCGTGGTGTATCATCGTGTCGCGAGCCGACCAACACTCTTCCTACCCAACAAATTCCCCTATAATTGTACTCTCACCCCTTGTAGGACATACATCCGCCCCACAGTTTTCACATGTCATCACTACACACTCAATCTGCGATAGCTTAGCCTTACAACACAGGCCCAAAGGTAAGTAGAAATCAATTGAAGTGTCTCGTAGACTGTACAATCTCAAATACATACGTGATCTAACATGATCCACGACCCACAGGGTGCATCATACCCAGTGCGCAGTACATGAACGTCAACCCTCGTAGTCTGAGGACAGGGACCCGACACTTCCTATGCTATTGAGCTCATCCTCGCGAGCATCCAGGTCGTGAAACTGTCGCCAAAACAGCACACCAGTCACTGCAGTTAGAACACTCAAGATCATGTAGTTCCATACCAATAGTGGATCGGCGGAGAGGGCTGCAAGGAAAAGAAGGTAAGAGATAATCAACCCCTGGGAATAGGTGCTTACCTACCGACAAAAAGCTCGCCCACGACACTTGCGATGGCGCTCATGAACATGAATACTGACATGACCAGGCTACGCATGCCCTTCGGCGCCTTCGTATACGCATACTCGAGACCTGTGACACTGGCAAGCACCTCGCTGATGCTAATGAGGACGTAGCTCCCCGTCTGCATCCAGACATTCAGACTGCTCGTGAGTCTCTTCCCATCGTCATCGACGCAGGTAGAGACGTATTTTCCGCAAGGATTCGTTGAATAGACGCGATGCTGCACAAACGCAGTGAATGCCATCCCTAGGGAAGCCACGAAGAAGCCGGCCGTGATTCTGCGCAGTGGGGTCAGGCGCATGTGGCGGCGCTGGATGAACGGGTAAACGAAGTGGTCAAACAAAGGGATTAAGATGATGAGCGAGAGTGGATCCAGATTCGAGAGAATGTCGTTGGGTAAGCCATGCGTTTCCATCGTTGCCGCTTGTGAGATGAGGTTGCCATTCAGTTGGTTCATCGTGAGGTCTGGCTCGATAGGCGTCAGCTCAGCAGCATAGCAGGGCGATGAGAAGTCACGGCACATACGGAAAACTGGATACCACAGGAAGACCTTGCATGCCCGCACACCCCTGATGACTTCGTGTACAAAACCATCGTCGTAGATCATCCATTCCGGTCGCCTTGCATCGGGAGGCAGGGAACTAGGTGTTGCACGGTCCCAGAAGTCGGGTGTCGTCATCCTTCTGTAGGTCGCCGCAGGGTTGAAAGACCAATTTCCGCGCATGCAGTAACGGAACATGTGATAGACGGTGCTGAGCATCGATCCTGACGGGGGCGATCGGACATAGCGATTGCGCCCGATGAACAAGACAAGAGGGCAGAGAAAAAACACGAGTGTCGGTAGTAGGAAGGCGAGCCAATAGCCAACATACTGAGACGGCGGTTAGATTCATCTAACGCAATTCCTCGCTATCTCTCATACCTTTTCCGAATAAGTCATGAGAATCTGACCGAACAAGGCCCCAATATTAATGAATAAATAGAAGTACTGTGTGTCATCGTCAACAAGATTCAAAGGCGCATATATAGAGAGCCCAACCATGTATATCCTAGCCGTTGTCATGGCAGGGTCTATGATGACACGCTCTCCGTTGGCAATTGTGGCGACAGTCATCTTCGTCTTCGTATACTGCTCCGCGACCAATGGGGAGATGTTTGCTTTGAACCCGCCCGTGCCGACACCCATAATCACCAATGCGACGAAGAAGTAGCTCAACGCTGTGTTCGTATGTTCAAGCATGCTAGGAAGCCCGGCCACGACGAGAACGGCATGACCCAAGAGAGCGATGCCAACAGCGACGCAGATAGTCTTGAATCGTCCCCATCGCGTGTCTGCTACGTATGCACCGAGCAGAGGCATACAATAGACCCTGAAGCCACTCGGTCTCAGTTTTGGTAGACATAACAATGCGGTTCGCATACCAAAACATGTTGATCAATCCGATAGCAGTGGAGGCACGCTGCCCGAGGCCAAGGGCCCCAGATTGCCCATCGGCATAGCCAGCACCTGTGCGTGACCCCGGAGGAAGCGGTTGTTGAATGAAGTTAGTCTGTGATACTGCTTAGTGTGTGCTCGATCCCGGTACTACCCTCCTGTGACTCACAAGTACTACAGTAGTACCATAGAAGGAGAAACGCTCCGCAAGTTCAACAAAGGCTATCACTATGAAGCAACATCTCAACACTACGCACGGACAACTTGAAGACGACTTACGGAAAGCGTTCCATGGTACCGCATCAGCCACTCTCCGCAACGTCTCTCGCTCTTCGTCGGTAGGGACTTCGGTATTATCTTGCTCATCAAGATCACTTAACTCGTAGTAGCTGTACCTCGCAATTGAGGGACTGTCGCGCGTGAATGAGCCCATCAGCCGGGAAAGGCGGCGAGATAGCTGCAAGTTCGGCTGGCACCGGGGTTCAGGCTCGAAGTCGCTGCTCATCCTCTATGCAACCCCGGGTCGCCGTAATAGCGGTTCAGCAGCACAGCTCAGATGGATGCATCACGAGCAGCAGTTCAGGATGGGAGTCTCCGTATCAAATATACGTAACTTAACTAACGGGACCGCGGTCATGTTATTTTGGAAGGGCGCCAATGCGGACATACAATACAATACAATTGCAAGTACATTGTTAGTATACAACAACTAAGCAACAATGCCACGAGCACCATGCTCGACAAGTTGAAGGTAAGGAGCCTACACAGCATACAGTACGATCCAGTCAACGTCAAGCCCACATTACTGCTCTCCGAAGGAGCGATACCAGTCCACCGCATTCCTCAGCTGTTCGAGAGTAACAAAGATCAAGATTGTCGTTGGCTGCAGACGGGTCCACGCAGGAACCCAGCCTCTGAACATGAACATCGGTCCCTCGTTCTTAAAAGAGGTCTTGATCACTTGCAGTGTCGACTGAGGCATAGGCGCGTATCAGTATGACGGCGTAGCCAGGACGAACGAGGCATAACCCACCGAGGCATCCTTTCCCGAGGCGCTCATGATGCGGCTCTAATATAGAATATCAGTATCACTCAGGCACTCATTCGGCATACTATACCTTGATAACGTCGGCTGGTGAGCACACTGTTGTTGCTACCGTACCCTACAATATGTTGTGAGGAAGCGACTCAATGGTCATGGTGTTTGTGTGCGTACCGCTGCGAAGCTGGCCGTGACGTGGACATTGATATTGTCCTCAAAATACTTTGTTTTGAGCAGCTCAGCCTTGAAAAAATCGTACCTAGGTAAGGAAAGCATCAGCGTTCTGACTGGAGACCCGTTTGGAGCGCTTACGAAGCCAGCTGGCTCGCGTTCATCAATACAGCGCGGAAAACGTTGGGGCCCACTCCTCGTCCAAGAGACGACCATCCCTCCTCCCGGACCATCTACACGACAGCATCCAACGCCTTAGCGTTCTGAGACGATGGACCCATGAGACCACGTACACGGATAAGTCCGTCGATGGCATTCTTATACCCTAGCTGCTTTTCTGGTGGCTTGGCCAGGTCACCTTGGAGTCGGACCTAGTGCACACGTGCGTTAAGGACGACTTCTAGTGACACGGATGCGAAGCGCCACATACCATGAGGATCTCTGCACAGATCGCAAACTCAGTGATTGAATGGCAGATCAAGGTAAGATTCACTCACCTCCGGGATTTCCGACGAGGCCCGCAATACCACCCGCTACATATGCATATGTAAGTGCGGCGCGGACAGCAACGCTTCTGTGTCCGCACCCATGCTTCCTGCAAGCGCCAACTTCCACGCTGGGGCGTTCGGACCTGTGAAGAGCGATCATGTTCATCTCGATGCCATTCCCGATACGTGGAGTTACCCACCTGCCCCCACAATCTTCTTGCTCTCGTCGTAGGCCCAGAATCGACAGAGCGAATACGACATTTGGCGAAGCCATGTTCCCGTGATGCCGTCAAAGAGTCCACGTACACCAGCCGTGCGCACAGTCTTGCGTATAGACTCGATCATTCTCTTGTCGTCTGTGGCCTGCAGGCGCACTTTGGTCAAGTCCAGTGGGCTGTGGTACGCCGAATAAGTGCATCAGCTCCCGATGTCATGGCACATGGCAGAAGACAGATTACATACTGCGTTATGGATGCGGCGATGGTCGCGGCGACACCTAGAAGCGGACATAGTGGAGATTAGATCGTGCTCGATCGCTCCAGTTCGAAGCCCACAAGCCACACGATGGCTGTGCATTCTGGATGAACACTACGTACCTCCAAGCCAGAACGGGTACGGCTGCTTCTTCTTGGGCGACGTGACATCAGCGGTCGGGGTGGAGGACAGCGGCGCTGTCGCTTCGATAGGCTTCGCCATGATTGACTGGAACAGTTAGACCACAAACACTCCAAGTTCGTTGGGCTCTGCAGCTGACGCAATGCGGTCGATGTCAAACTCTCCTCAGGCTCGCAGGGACCTAGGAAAGGTGAAAACGTCGCGCGCGGTGTATTTACTGTATATAGGCGGGGCCCGTGGCACGCGATCTTCTCTTCGCCGGTTCACACCGACAGTATCCGACGTGAAAACAGCTGATGTAGACGAGCTGCAGATCTCTGGAGAAAAGGAAGGCCGATGACGGCGCAGTAATAGGAGGAAATCGGAGAGACTCAACAGCTGACCGTACACCTGACAATA